GATTATACATTTATGCAATCCACTAAACTAGTGTTTCCCAACCTTAGTCATTTTAAGATGTGTGGATTTCCACTCTTAGGATAACCCAACCACACCAGGGGTGCTATTCAGCAGGTTCTGACAGGTTTTGGAGAACCGGTAGCGGAAATTTTGAGTAGTTCGGAGAACCAGCAAATACCACCTCAGGCTGGTCCCAGAGTGGGGTGAGAATTGAGATTTTGCACTATATTTCCCTTGCCATGTACACCAAGCCACATCAAGCCACACCCACATAACCGGTAGTAAAGAAATTTGAATTCCACCACTGAACCACACTATTTTAAAATGGCTAAGGTTGGGAAACACTGCACTAAATTGTAAGTATAAAAAATAGAACAGTTATGTTCATCCAACAAGCTAAGCCAATTGTAATTTGTTTTGTATAGAATACAGTCAATAAGACTTTTTGCCTTTTGATATAGGTAGGTGGGTCCTGAACCTGGGGGATGGGATACAGATCTGAGACAATATTGAGAAGTCTACTGAAAAAGATGGAACTTGAACAAGAAGCCAGTGAGCTAGATGGGAGTCCATGCCTGACTGAATTTTTATGAGGCAAGAATATTATAATATTATTCTCTATTTGACAAAATACTCAGGCAATTCTGATTTTTTTTATGCCCAGTTGTTATTATCAGGCCAGTTTGATTCCATTTTTATGAACAATGGAAGTTCTGTTCCACTGCCTGGGAAAGCAGATAACTTTGATCATATCAGTGACTTAGTCACAAACTGTTTTACTTTGTTTCATCCACTGTTGGATTCTGGTGAAGTGACTGTAATAATGATATGTATGTACGAGCTAGATGCAGAATTCCAGCAAGCTGGAAGCTCTCCTGACACTTCATAGAAGGAAAAGGATTGGTTAAACATAAGCAAATAAATTATGTGGGTATCTGAGCTAAAAAAATCTTTAGACACAGATTAATTATATCTACATATTTTGCCACATCTCATAATTCACAGTGGTTATATTTTTCAGCCATATTAAAGGTAGTCCTTGACTTACAACTACAATATAGTTCTGCCCCATTTTACGATCTTTCTTGCCGTACTTGTTAAATGAATCACCACAGTTGTTAAATTAGTAACATGGATGTTAAGTGATTCTGGCTTCTCCATTGACTTTGCTTGTCAGAAGGTTGCAAAAGGTAATTGCATGATGCCAGACACTGCAACCATAAGTATGAGTCAGCTGCCAAGAGTCCTAATTATGATCATGTGACCATGGGGTGGTCACAAGATGGTCATGAGAAAAATGGTCATAAGTCAATTTTATCAATGATGTTTCTTTGAACAGTCACTTAAACAAATGGTTGTAAGTGGAGGACTATCTGTATTATACCAGTAATAAAAACTCAGGACAAAATGAAGTCCTTGAAAAAGTGTACTTGGACCAAACTGTCTCCAAATGTTGTATTTGGAACAAGTTATACACTAAGGACTCTACAGACGAAGCTATATCATCGTTTAATTTTTGGAGAAGATAAAACAACTTCTTACATGGCAGTGTAAAAAACAGCTTTCCTAAATATTTCTCCAAAGCAGTTGAAGACACAGGAACATCTCACCAGTATGAATTATAGTCATACAACTGCTATCTGTTATAAGATCCAGTCCTAGTCATTAATGTAAACTGAAATCCACTCCTGTGTTGCCAAATGCAATAATCAATAGCTTGCACTTGGCAACTAGAAACTACCATTATAAAAAGGTATCATGATGACATCAGATGCTTCATATTGAAAAGTTTTACAGTTAATACTCATTGGGATCAGCTTTCCTCCTCTTGCAAGGAGGAAGAGGAGGTGGTGGAATGCTAACTGGCTGCTGGTTTTTGTGCTCTCCCATTGGCCAGCTGAAGGGAGCACTGTTTGCCTCATGGAGAGTGAGCAAGGACGTTTGAAGATGACTGCGTGTTTGAGAACAGGTATGTGAAACTGGTTGCTCTTTAAAAGTTCCCATAGAGATGCAAAGAAAGAGAAAGAAAAAGAAAAAGAAAGCAAGAGGAAAGAGAAAGAAAGTGAAAGAAAGAAAGAAAAAGAGAAAGAGAAAAAGAAAACAACCTCAGTTTTAGCTACAATTTTGGAAAGTCAAAGTAGATGCCACTTAAAAAAAAAAGTATGAAAACAATTTAGGCAAATACTGTCCATAGAGAGAATGAAACATCTCTGAACTACAAGCTATTTGTGTGAAAAGTTCCAGACCAACCGTGGCATTAGATAAAGGGAGATGGATGAGATTTCATCAGGAAACAGTAAGGAGGTGTTGGAGAGTAGAGGTATGTATGTATGTGTTCTCCCTTTTGATTTGTACTTTCTCAGCTAGCCTACTGCCTTCAGGTGCAGTCTGGAACTTGAGCCTATTAACAGTGCTAAATTAATTTTGCATACAAAGGAAGTCATGTTCATTATCTGAAGTTAGAGCAATGATACTATCAAGGCAGGATTTAGGAGTAAATCTAAAGTCCCTCTTCTCCAAACAACCAGGCCCCATTATTTAATTTTAAAGGAAGTCAATACAATTGCCATCTCATAAGACTAAGTCTAATCTTGCATGTTCTTCATTCATCAAACTCTGCAAAACTTTTTCTACTCAACCAAATCACTCTTTTGCACTGGGACTCAGTTCAAACATTCTAATAGTGTTTAATTTAATGGAATGGAAAATGCGAGTAAATACCAGTGTTTTTAACCTTACAGAATGCTGGCATTTGCTAGCGTTTTTGCTAGATTTGAAGTCCATTCCTACAGCGTGCAGGATTTCCTCTCCCTGCATGGAAATCCTCCAGATCTCAAATCCAAATGTCCTATTGTTGGAAGAAATATCCATCTGGTTCAGTTCCAAATGGGGAGAAAGACACTAGAAACATAGAGGCTGATTGGAAAGATGGTTTAATGGAGCAGAACCATCAAGCTCATGGTCCTGGTGCAGTTAACCACATGGAGTGAGTGAGGGTTATTTATACCCCCTTTTGGGCCTTGTCCTTGAGCTTCCTGTTCCTGTGCAAGAAATGTATTGTATTGGCTGTTGTCAGACTCCCATGGGTCCGTGTGGGGTCATTTTTTTCTGAATCAAGTTTGGTTGAAGCCTGGAGGGTAGTGCAATGTCCCCAGGTGATTTTGCAATGCAGTGAGCCCTGCTGCTAGATAATCCTTTTAAGTCCTGGAGGCAGGTGTTGTACTCAGCAGGTCTTGGAGAACCAGTAGTGGAAATTTTGAGTAGTTCGGAGAACCGGCAAATACCACCTCTGGCTGGCCCCCAAGTGGGGAGGGAATGGGGATTTTGCAGTATCCTTCCCCTGCCACGCCCACAGAACCAGTAGTAAAAATTTTTGAATTCTACCACTGCCTGGAGGGTTATGTCTTAATCCCATCACCCTGGAACTAAAGGTCTTTTGTTTTGTAGATAGGCTGGCCAGTCCTTCTCAATGGGCACCAAATATCTGCTGGGGGCACGGAGCTGAAGCTCTGAGTTTCTCTCTCCCTTACAATTTCTATTTCTCTTTTAGGGAAAATGTAGTATTCTGCCTTAATATTTCCTAAAATATTTCATTCTTCTAGGAGGGGTGGGTGCTAATTTTCTACATTTTCTTCTTTGCAACCTTCCCTGCCGGCTTCCCCATTGTCCCCCATTCACCCAGTCGACTTTCTTGCCTAGGGGCGGCTTCTACTGCTTTCTAGCCATCACCTGAACCACTACACCAAACTGGCTCCCTGAAGGGAGTTGGAATTCAACAGCCTTTGGAAGGCATGCATTTTCCCTTCTTGATAGATTCTCTTGTTTGTTTTGATATAATCTAGTAATAAAATCCCATGTCCCAAAAGTTTTTGTCTGATGGGAAAGCTAATTAATGTTAATCAAGAAAGTTACATGAACATTACAGAACTATATAATGTGGGTAAGTCTGATTTTAGTCATTTGAAGGAACTTCCTTTGCATAAAAACAGAAGTTTTTATGCAAAGAAAAATAGAAGTATACGTGTCATTTAAGAGTCTGGGTAGAGTTCATAATGGATTGGAAATCATGCTTTTTTTAATCCTTTCCAAATTTATTTAATGTTTCTATAATTTAATGTTTTGCTAACCTAAAATTTCCTCGAACTGTATAATCTTCATGTAAGTTACATTCTCTTTTTTGTATAATGGCAGAATTAATTAAATTATCAATCTTTCTGCTGCATCTAGCTGTTTTCTTTCTTTTTTAAAAAAGTATTTTCTTTAATGGTTTTATTTCTCATCCAACCTACTGATAGAACTAAGGAGAAATTTTCTGACAGTAAGAACAATTAATCAGTGGAAGAGCTTGCCTCAGGAAGTTATGGATGCTCCAGCAGAAGTTTTTAAGAGGAGATTGGACAAGCATTTGTCTGAAATGCTATAGGGTTTCCTGCTTGAGCAGGGGGTTGGACTAGAAGACCTCCAAGGTCCCCTCCAACTCTGTTACTCTATTCTGGTATGCATTCGAAAATACCTTTGTAATTATGGAATTTATGGATGGGCAAAAAAAAAAATAGTAGTTGCATGGTACAACTCTTAATTTCTCGAGTATTTTTAAGTCAGCGTGGGTAAAATGGGTCTGACTGACGTTGAAAACAAGCCTTGCCCAGAAGTCAAATTTCAAATCGTTTAGGCGGTTTATAAAATGAACGTACGATCATCTCAAATACGGACTACTATCAACGCGCCACGCCCCCTTGGTGCCTTTTTTTTTTCACAACTTTTAACCCCGGAAGGAAAACTCCAACCACGCTCATTTGCTAAGTACCCTTCCGCCTTCACGCAAACATGCCCACCCACCCCCCTCGCCCGCGTAAGTGTACTGATGAAGGTATGCAGCAGCCCGCGTTGCGCCTATACACCATTACGGCACACGCCTCATGAACGCATGCGCAGTCCGCGCGCTGAGATCATCGCTCCGCCCCGTGCTTCAAGATTCCCCCCCCTCCTCCTCCTCCCTTATCGTTCTGATCGGATTCCGTCACCGTAGATAGGTTCGCTCGTTCTCTTTTAGCCTTCCGTAAAGCTCTTTTATCTTGGACGTGGGGAATTTGAGGCTAGGAAATTTCGACGGCGGGAAAAAAAAAAAAAGCCCACGCGACCATTGGGAAGCGGGAAAAACCGGGGGAAAAAAAAAAACCCCGTCCGCACCTCTGCTGCCACCTAACGCTCGGCGGGAGATTTGCAACCGAGCCCTTATAGCCCTCGAGGGGCGAGCGCACTAAGCGAAGGCCGACCTGCACATGCGTGATGATCATTAGAAGCGCCAGAAATACGAAGCGCATGCTCACTTGAAGGTTGGTGGTGTTTTTTTTTTTATTTTGGGGGGGTACCCTGACCCTATTGCGCATGCCCGTCACCGGTCCACCTCCGTCTTTCCAGCCAAACGCGAAGTGCGCCTGCGTAGCAGCGCTTCCATTCTTACCAAGCCCAAGCTGCAGTTTTCTCGGCAACTACAGGGGCGGAGAGAAAAAAAAAAAAAAAAAGCATCAGCCATGCATTGCAGTGGCGGCAGCAGCAGCAGCAGCGGCGGCGGGCGCAGCGCGGATTAAATAACGTCTGTTGCTCCCGTTCCGTCTGAATGTCTCTTCCAGGACGCGCAGGGCTCCAGATACCTTTGCACCCACCTCCAGTGTTAGCGCCGCCGCCGCCACCACCACAGCCAGGTAGTCGATCCTCCCTCCCTCCCCGGCGCTTGCACTGTCATGTTGCATGGACTTTCTGCATGGGTGGGTGGGTGGGTGGAGGGCTTGGGGGAGGGGGAATCGACGGACGGAATGTGGGGGGGGGGGCTTGAGGAGATGTGCATTGTTTGGATGTGCGTGTATGCAAGGCTGGCGGGGCTGATGAAGGAGGGAAGGGAGGGGGATCTGGTTTAGGTGAATACGGTGGATCCAGGCAGGCAAGAAGTGCGGGCGATCCTCGGCTCTTGTCTCGCCGGCCTCCTTTTCGTCTCGGCGAAGGTCACCGTTTTATTTATTTATTTATTTCTTTTTTGCTTCAGATGCGGGAGAGGGGGGAGAGATCGGAAGCGCCTGCACACAACACAGATACACAACACAGACACACACAATGGGCGGGCAGGGGGAGGAAAAACTCCCTTCAGAAAGTGATCTGGGTGGTGGTGGTGGTGGATTTTCCTGCCGATCCTCCTTTTCCTTGTTTGGGGGGTGGGGTGGGAAATGATTTAAATGCGAGAACAAAGCAAACCCCGTTCGGTTTCGCTGCATATCTCCAGGCCGGTGGAAAGTGGGTTGGGTGATCTGCTGCCTCTTTCTCCCTTCTCTGTATGTGTGTTTTTCCGTCTTCGATCTACATTGAGAGAGAGAGAGAGAGAGAGAGAGAGAGAGAGAGAGAGAGAGAGAGTTGCCGGAAAAGTGCAGCTTTTTGTTTGATCTCCGCCACTCCCTGTTATAAATGTCTTTATATCGGAGGTTCTGACTTAACGCCACGGCTATATAAAACTATATACATTGTATCATTTCAGTCTTCCTGTCGGATCTCTTCAGTGATATATATATTTTTTGGACATTCGGATTTTGATGTCAGTTTCCCTCCCTCTAAAAGGTGTTATCGCGTTTCTGTAACCAGTCTTTTTAAAATGATCTCTTTTGTGCATCTGTGTGTACACACTTAACTGGGATTTGTTATCTGGGTACAAAATGAAGCTGTATATATATATATATAGTATTTCTTGGAGTTATTTTCCTACACTTGGGTCTCAGAAGTTTAAATGATGTAAGGTTATGAGTAGTGCTGAAATATACAGAGATGTTGGAGGAATACTGTATAAAGAATTTAGTTTTGTGTTCACCTAAATAATTTACCGATGATTGGATTTGCACCATTATCTCTTAAACATCAGTGGTATCATTATTCAATCTGCCCTTTCCAAAGTGTGAATTTATCTTGCAGTAAGTGACCAAGTGCTGTAGTTGATTATATGCCATCAAATCAGTATTGATTTTTAGAGAACACACAGATAGAGGATGATCTGTTCCCAACTTGGCCCTTCAGGTCTTCCAGTAGTGTACTTATCATCATTGCAATCAAGTTCATCCATTTATTTTTTTTTTTGGTTGTCATTCCCATCTTTTTCCTTCTACCTTTCTCAGTATTCCAGGTTTCTCAAAAGAGGTAGGTCTTCTCATATCCAAAATAAAATAAGTTGAGTCTGATGCTTTGTGCCTTAAGTGAGATTTTTTTCTCTTGACCGGTTTGCTTTCTTGGCTATCCATGGTATTCTCTGGAGTCTTCTCCAATATTAGAGTTCAAAAGCATCAATATTCTTTCCATCCTGCATCTTAACAGTTGAACTTCTGCCTCCATAGAGTGTGAGATCGGAAACAAATGCCTGCTCAATTCTAATCTTTGTAAATATATACACACCATGGCATCTGAATATCTTTCCATTGCTACCCTAACAAGTGCCAGTTTTCAGTATATTTCTTGATTATTTCCATTATTGTTTGTAGATCTTCATAAAAAGTTATCACCTCTGTACGATCTCTTTCAGTTTTAAGGGTGGTTGGACTATCTGTCATCATTAGCTTGGTCTTTATATGTAAGCATAGTCCTATTCTTTTCACTGTGTCTTTGGTTTTCATTACTATAATATTTTCATTTGTCAAAATAGTATTATTGACATAGCACAGGTTATTGATTTTTTTTTTCTTCCATTTTTAAAACATGCTCATCTTTAAATCCAGCCTTCTTTAATATATACTTAGCATACAGGTTAAATCAATAGAGAGAACACATCCTTTGCTGATCTGGAACCACTCTGTTTTGCTATTTTCCATCTGGACCATGGCTTCCTGTCTTGTGTATAAATTTTGCATGCAGACAAATGAAACAGTCTTGGAATTCCTATTTTCTTAAGAACATTCTAAAATCCTTGTTTATACCTCTTGCTCTTCAGCTTTTTCGAAAACCAGTTCAAACATCTGGCATGTACGGCTGTAACCTGTATCAGATGATCTTAGGTACTATTTTCCTAGTATGTGAAATTAAGATTTAGATTAGATTTAGATTTATTGAATTTATATACCGCCCTACTCCCAAAGGACTCAGGGTGGTGAACAGCCAAAAGATAAAATACATGTAATACAAATGTTAAAAAACCATTAAAATAGAATTAAATAATTTGGCCCAGAAAACAAAATTTAAAAACCCCAATTTTATATGACAAATTTAAAATTTAAAAAATTTAAGAAACAGTTTAAAAAAGAGTTTAGGCCAGGCTGGCCTGCTGAAATAGGAATGTATTGAGGGCACGGCGGAAAGCGCGCAGATCAGTGATCCTCCGTATCTCCGGGGGAAGCTCGTTCCAGATGGCAGGTGCTCCCACAGAGAAGGCTCTCCCCCTGGGGGCCACCAGTCGACACTGTTTGGCCGACGGCACCCTAAGAAGCCCCTCTCTATGGGAGCGTACTGGTCGGTGAGAGGCTACTGGTGGCAGAAGGCGGTCTCGTAGATGCCCTGGTCCTAGGCCATGGAATGCTCTAAAGGTGGTAACCAAAACCTTGAAGCACACCCGGAAGACCACCGGGAGCCAGTGCAGCTTGCGCAGGAGGGGGGTCACATGGGAGCCCCACGTCGCTCCCATAACCATCTGCGCGGCCACATTCTGGACCAGCTGGAGGCTCCGGATGCTCCTCAAGGGGAGCCCCATGTAGAGAGCATTGCAGTAGTCCAGGCAGGAAGTGACGAGGGCATGAGTGACTGTATTTAACGAGTTCCGATCCAGAAAGGGTGAACTGGCGAATCAGGCGAACCTGATAAAATGCCCTCCCAGCCACAGCCGTCAGATGCCCTTCTAAAGACAGCTGTGAGTCCAGGAGGACACCCAACTTGCGGGCCCTCTCCGTGGGGGCCAGCAACTTGCCCCCAATAGTCAGTGATGGCACCAACTGACTATATCAGGATGTTGGAAACCACAGCCACTCGGTCTTGGATGGGTTGAGCCTGAGTCTGTTTCTCCCCATCCAGATCCATACAGCCTCCAGGCACCGGGACATCACTTCAAGGGCATCATTGGGGTGGTCCGGGGTGGAGATGTACAGCTGGGTGTCATCAGCATAACTGGTGGTACTTCACCCCGAAACCTCGGATGATCTCACCCAGCGGCTTCACATAAATGTTGAACAGAAGGGGCGAGAGGACTGACCCTTGTGGCACCCCGCATACAAGGGGCCTCGGGGTCGACCTCTGCCCCCCTGCCAACACAGACTGCGACCGGTTGGAGAGGAAGGAGGAGAACCACTGCAACACGGTGCCCCCCACCCCTAACTCTTCCAGCCGCTGCAACATGATACCATGGTCGATGGTATCAAAAGCCGCTGAGAGGTCTAATAGGACCAGGACAGAGGAACAACCCCTGTCCCGAGCCCTCCAGAGATCATCAACCAATGCGACCAATGCCATTTCCGTGCTGTAACCAGGCCTGGGTAAGGATATCATACCATAATTTCCACATTGTTTTAAATTGTTCCACATTGTTTTAAATCTAATTTCTTTGATATTTTATATAGATTGACTTCTTCCAATCATTTGTTACTGTGTAATTCTCCAGATTTGCTGACGTAATTAGGTTAGCATATTTATTGATTCTTCTGTTGCTTGCCATATTTCTGTAGATGTTCCAATTTCTGTAAACTTCCAATTTGGTAATAACCAGAATGCTGATCTAATTTCATCTTCTGGTATTACAATTCTTATAAATGTTTCTTATTCTTATATTTCTTAGATAATTTTTCTACAGTATTTTGGATCTTGTTGTTTGTACTGTATACAATTTCAGTATTCTCTTTCCATCTTTGTTTAATGTTTGGATCAGTCCACTGGTATCTTTTATTATATCAGTTCAAGGTTGGCACCTCTTCCTCAATTCAAATAACTTTTGGAAAGCTTTCCTTGTTTTTCTGTTTCTGTTTTCATCTTTGAGGTTTTTACAGAAGTCATTGTAATATTGCTTCTTGTCTCTTCTATCAGTTCCCTAAAATTATTTCTTAAATTCCTTTCTGAGAAATTTTTGGCTTTGGTTTCTCCTCTCTTCTTGGTAATTTCTAGCATTTGTTCTGATACCTAGTTTTTTGTTTGTTTTTGCTGCCCTCGTTTTTGGGAGTCTCTTTTCATAGTTAACCTGAGCTACTACTTTGGTTTCATTCCATAGTTTCTCTGGTTCTCTATATATGAGATTCAGGACTTCAAAGTAATTGCTGATTTCTCCTTGAAAATGGATATACTCAAGATCATATGATGGAAACCCATTGGCTTCCTTTAATTTGGAACATGA